TCTATTTTTCTTAAGTAGAGCTACTCTCCAATCTTTACACATACTTGTGGCAACTGTAGAAGTATACCCTGGGGTAGGACAAGTACACCTTGTTGGGAATCACTATATATACTGTATATAAAGTTTTTGTTATACTCATGGGTAAAATACTATATTCAAATTCAAGGGCACCCCATTTTCAGCTCCTTGGTAATATGTCTTTTGTATTAGCTAAGCTGCACAGAACAACATTACATTACACAATCTAATACTACCATATGACAGCTGGCCTTCTCTGTCCTCTTCTGCCTTTCCCCCAGACACACCAACATCACATCTGTCACCTTTATGCTCTACTCAACCTCATATTGATAGGGTGGGACACCTAGTGAGTATCACACACACACACACACACACACACACACACACAAACCAGAGGGGGGACAGTAAATATGCGTTTTGTCGATAGCTGTCCACCACAGCAGAGGCTCAGTAGTAGTAGTATTTTTGCTGACTTCAGGAATCAGTGCTTCACTTTTGCTGAGATAAAGGATTTGGGCCAGTTAAATCTTATCATAGTCTATTATGTGTGTGCGTGTTCATTCATGCAGCAGTACATAAAATGTAACGGTGTGCTCGGTCTTCAGAGGCTGCTGACAGTTGGAAGGTGATCTTATTTTCACCTAATATTACCTTTTTGTTGGCAGATGGAGTTCACAAATTTGGGCACATGCACTCGAAAACACACACACACACACACACACACACACATTAGTGCTGTCGAGCACATTTCCTCTTTTGTCAAACTGAGGAAGGCTTTCTCGAACACACTAACAACAACCAGAATGTCCATTAACAGGATGTGACCCTGCTTGTGGATTCAACCTTTTTCCACTGAGCAGAGCGAAGGCTTAAAAAGGGTTTAATTGCGTGTTTACTCTCTCTCACACACAAACAAAAGAAAAGAAAGTCTCCATAAATTGTGTGTTCATTTTATCTCACCATTAACGCTAACAAACAATAATCACATTTAAACAGCACAAATGCCATGTTGTCTGAATGTGTGTTTCTAAGATGGAGCAAACCTACACATACATTCACAAGATATCACACACATAAACACACTGCTTGAATGCTGTCTTCTGGGGCTGTTTGATCAAGAAGTTTGGGAAAAGTTCAAAATGTATTTGAGGTCAATCTGATAAATCAGTGTCATTAAACCAACTTCTGAAAAGTATAAAAATAATTATTTTAGTATTGAAGTATTGAGTATTGAACACCTCCTTTTATCCTGTATTGTCAAGACTCAGCTGATCCTTTTCATAATGTCAGTTATCCCTTCCACAAAAGCAATACAACGATCTCTCTTCCACTAATAGTTCCTCCCTTCTCTTTCTGAGAGTGGTTCAAATATATTTACCGTCAAGTGCAGAACTCCTGCTGTCAGCGTTCACTCCAGTAAGTCTGGCCTGACACCATCTGAACTGTATTCTATACAGCACTCACCCTCGGGTACAACATGCAGACAATGAAGAGATTCTGAGCTTGTAAAATGATGGTGATGATGATGACAGTGTGTGCTTGTATATCACCTTGTGTGAGCCTGTGGACAAATTTGCTCATTTATTTGCAGAGATATATGTTTGTGAATGTGAAAAAAAGGTTTGTGCCAACATAAAATTTGAAATACTTGGTGGTTGTAGAGACATTTGACATCAAATTAATTTAATTTGGAGTCAATCTTTATTGTTAGATTTTATGTTTTTTATTTTAGCTCCCTGTTCTACTACTGTGCAACCCTATGGAATTATTTTCTGAAATCTTGGGTTTTCCTATATAGATCGAGTACACACTATGATAATGAAATGGATAATTAATTGTGGGGCTCTGTACTGTCCCCCCTCCCCCTTCCCCATGTTATGTATTGTTTGTTTTTTTGTGAGTGATCGGTTGGGAATTGTATATTTTATGCACCACTACCTGCAAAAACCTACCTGGCAATAAATCTGATTCTGATTCTGATTATAAGGTGACATTGTAATGGTCTGTTGTTCTTATTTTGTTTTACTGTTGTTGTCTTAGTTGTTGCAGTATGTGATGTTTTATTGTGTGGATTTCTCTTTGTATGTCTTATATTGATGCCAAAAGTGTAAATAAAAAAATGTTCGTTAAGAATTATGTGTTATGTGTTTTTTCTGTGGTGATACATTCTTAAGCATTTTTTATTAGAATCTTTAAATTGTAATATGATTTATATGAAATGTAGCTTTTTCCAGTGGTATACATATTGTTCATTGCTTAAAGAATAAGAATGGCATTATTCTGTTTTTATTGTCAACAAATCTGTGGTAGGGTGGTTGGGCATCAGCTGCAGGCTGCGAGAGGGTTAACACCTTAAGTACTTGGGCTGATTGTTAATTTACCAATGCGGTATGCAAGTAACATGCACATAAAATTGAATAAACATCACCCTGAAGCTGGGTCCAGGAGGAGAAACTGAGACACAAACCAGTGAAGGCAGGTGCCAGAGAGCAGAGGAGAAGAGAAACTGAAATGTGCATGCAAGAGAGGCACAACAGACAAATCCATACCAGCCTATGAAGCAGCATTGTTTGGAGTGATAATAAGTTTTGTTGAAATTAAAACCTCTGTCACAAAATCTTATTGAAAGATCAAAACCTGAAATATATGAGTTAATCTCTCCATTCTTCCTGAATTCCCCTGTATGTAAAGCTCTACCCCAAGCCCATTTCTTTCTACTTAAGCCGTACATTTCTAAAAACAGCTCACCGATATATAGTCTCATTCTCTACAAAAGTCCAGTAATATTCTGAAACACTGTCGGTTTGAGCACATTACTCAAAAATAATAACAGTGAATTTGGTGGAGACTACTTTCAGCTGTGGATTGATAAACATTTGATGGACCAGTGAAAATGGCAGCAGGAGAGCGTATGTGGGACTGAGTCAAGATTAATTACAGTTGCCTGGTCGTGGTAACAAAGGAACATTTCACACAGTGCACCAGTGTTGCTCACTAATGTGCTTTTAATTGTTTTTAGACAACAATGGATCTTTATGTAACAGAGGAATAAGATATATCTGCCTTTGGCTACACAGGAAATACTTGTTAGTATAGGACCAATTCATTGTGGGTTTTAGTCATTTCATGGGATTTCTGGGCAATAAGAACAACAGAATATAACAGTATAATATAAGCCATATCTATGGAAGCCCTGAACAAAAAGTGAAAAGGGTTTCACCTGTGAAAAGACTGACCACTGGTGTGGTCCTTTAAGTAAAAGAATCCCAGACAAAGTGGGAGTGCAAAACTGGGGAACAGGACTGAGGGAACAGCACTAGCCAAACAGTTGAAATCCACAGCATTTTATTCAACATGTAATAGAATACAGTCAGTGTCATATTTATTGTTAATGCTGTATAGAATCTGGTGCTGCTACAATTGTGACGTGATATGGCAAACAAAGGAGAGAAAATAAAAGAATAACCAAACTAGTGAGAGAAAGACAGAAAGAGGAAGCAATAGTAGAATACACATTCTTCAAAATAAGACAGAAGTGCATTAAAGATTACAATACTGCTTGGGAGGTGGATGGTGGAGCTGAGGCACAAAGCTCTGAAGCAGAAATGGACAGAGCGAGAGGGATGGTGCATTAATATTTTCATGAAGAGAAAAGGTGGATAGAACAAAGTGTCCTTGCTTTGTTACCATAAAGGTTTGAAAAGTGTTGACAGGAAACCACAACAGGATGGCCCAGTCAACGTACTGTGGCAACATGAACAATTGGTATTAAGGTATTAAGTGCTACAGAGGAGAGCAGATCTCGTTGTCTTATAGGAGCTATCATGTGTGATGAACCTTTGTGCCTCCATTGGACAGAGCTCCTACTGTCGGTCAGCAGCACAGCCAGTCCAAATTAAACAAAGATGACAAATTACCAGTATTTTTCACCAGTTTTGTGGTTTGTGGTTGTTCTTGGGAAATTTCAATGCTGGGGAAAATAGTGACACCTGTCTCGTATGTTCTTGTGTCTTGGCTCCATGACAATGTCACCTAGTTAGAAAAAGTATATCAATACTGCCATGCCTGTGGTGACGGCGGAGCTTGGAAGGAAGCATAGTCTGTCAAAAATAGAAGCCATGCAGTCAAAAAAAAAAAGTGTTCCCGTATGATTTGAGGTCCACTGTTGCAAACACAACCAATGTAGCTGGCTGCATTATTAGGCTGGTTATGTATCAGATCCAACCAACAAAGACCGATCAGAGCCTCTCAATTATACTTTCTATGACAGACGATTATTCAACTGTTTTCTTTCACCTGTCACAGAAATCCTAGAAATCTCCATACCTATGAGAAAAACACAAAATAGTAAATGGAAATATGAATGAAGACGTACTGTATTCTGCAAAAACTACCTGGTGCATGTTATGTTTTATATTCCTGGCAGCGCCCAGTTTGTTTGAAATGAAGAGAAATTGTAAGTATTTAGCAAGAATAGAAAGAACTACTATAGGGTTGGCTATAGTTTAGACTTGGTCAGTTCTGATTTTGCATACTGGGTCTGGTTCTTATCAATTCCTGCGATTGTAAGCAAACTGAGCGAGAAAAGAAAGTGAAAAATGTCAAAGCAAAGCGAGATGTAGGCTGCCATAAAGTTATTTATCATAAATGACAAGATATTATGTGATGCTACCATACTGTAGCTCAACTAAGTGCTCTTTAATCTCAACAATCAGAAAACAGTAGTACAGGTTTTTCTCATCCACTCTGCTTTGAGCTTTAATGAACTTTGAACTGCAGCTTGTTTAGAAAGAACACACTTTCTCTTACTGCTTCACAGTTTAAGCTTTCCACTGACCAGCAAGGCTTTTATTGTGAAGCAGCTATAGCTTCATGTCGAATTAGACACAGATGTCAGCGACGGCTAATTCTGCAGTGCACAAAAATTGTTCTATGTGATATAGACATTTTTCAGTGCTATTTTTTGTCAGCAGATTATTTAAATGACATTTAAATGACAGTCTTGGCCAAGTTAAGAGGTGTGTTGTTCTGTGTTTCAGAGTGTGACTCACTCTGTGTCATCAGCAGTGGGTGTGTTATAGCTTTGGAACAGCGGCTGCATGAAGAGCCCCAGAGTTCCCACCACACACACCAGGATGAAGATCCACAGGAACAGACGGTCTATCACCATGGCTACGTACTTCCAGTCTTCTATGATCTGGAACCAAACCAACAAGTTCAGACTGTTACAGCTTGTTAAGACAGGTAAAATCATGACTATAAAGTATGTCTGTGTGTAGGAGCAGACCTTCAGGGAAACACCATTTTTAACTCTTGGGGTCAGAAGAACATACGCTTTACGTCATCATTCTAGGACTAACTAGCAGTACATTGCAAGATCATGTATGTAGCCATGAAGTGTGTATTTAAAGGTTCAGTTTGTAGCATTCAGTGGCATTTAGCAGTGTTGTTGCGACTCCGTCACTTCACCCTCTCCTTTCAAGCGCAAAGGAGAAAGTACGGTGTCCGCGAAATGCGTGAAAAATGCCCCTATCTAGAGTGTTTTGTTTGACCCTTCTGGGCTACTGTGAAATATGCTGGTTCAGCATGGTGGACTCCATGCTTCACTCCCCAAGTGAATATATACAATGAAAACATACCTATGAATATTATATTCCATTTCTGCCAACAGATCCTCCTAAATGTTACACACTGGATCTTTAAAGNNATGTTACACACCAGACCTTTAAGACCCCTGGAGCTGAAGTCAATAAAGTCAGCCGGTGACAGTGTTCTAACCAACTCATAGAGCTAAATAAGCTAACATTAGACTAACTAGGGACTGGGCTTAGAGAACTGTCAATTGCACTTGTCAGAAAGGGTATTACTGAACACAAACTATGTTTGATGAAGTGCTGCTGTTGCCATAAAGCGTCTAGGACACCAAATGCATATCAGGGTGTAATTTTAACTGCACTGCAGCCGGGTGTGCCAAGCGGAACAGAGGCAGCCTAATGAAAAATCTGCCATGAGCAATTATAGCTGCAAAACTTGTTTGTAATATTTATATATTAAGTGTGGAAGTTTTGTGGAAGTTTAGAATCCCAGGGCCACAAATCTGGGGTTGGGGATGGTGCTGAGTTCAGCCAGTTTGTGTTTGTAGTGTTTGCAAGGTTTTATGTGGATATCTTATGTTTTCAGAAAAAAATAGATGACTGACAGGTTTGAATAATGTCACAGAAGGACAAAAGTAAATATTGAATGAACTAATACATGGCATGTTCCATTTCTCATCTGGCCCTGATAACCTTTTCATTTCCTGTGCAAATCTCCTCATTCTTCGTCCTTGTCATCACCCATCTCCATAATCTGCTTTTATAGGTCTTTACTTCCCTCATTCTGCCTCTACAATAAAATATGCTGTCTTCCCCTTCTTTTATCCTTTGATCCAATCTATTTAACCACGGCTTTGTCTCCGGCTTTATCTCCTCACCCCTTCATCGACGTCTTCGGTCTTCATGTGTTCAGCGATGTACCTCACTCCATCAACTGCCTCCTCCAGATCTGCATCCCACTGAACAGCCAAACGCCTCCGCAAACCTGAAAACCCACCACCCCCATCTGGGATGTCGCCCACCTTCCAGCAGAACTTGTGTGCCAAGTCCTCATTCACGTAGAAAGAGTCGGTGTCCGTTCGGATCCCACCAAGTCTGATGTTGGAGTACTGCTTCTTCTCTTCGCCACTCTGGGAATTGCTTTTCCCAACCGTGCTCCGGTTGGCGTACTTCCGGCGGAGCTTATCGCGGACATTGGAAGAGCCTGGACGCCTCATGAGGAGGAAGGTGGGCAGGCGGACTAAGAAGAGGCGTTTGACCCAGTCAGGCATGTGGTGGGTGGATGGCGAACGGTGGTGCACATTGAGGACACAGACGCTGCTCACAGTGGAGAAAGTGACCAGCACCATGGTGAACATCAAGTATTTACCTTAGGGAGAGTGACAGACAGAGATAGAAAAGACAAGTAATACAATTTTTATTTAAAATGGGAGCCAATCAGAAAATATATAATATATATACAAATACAAAAAATTTAGGGATAAAGGTCTGTCTCTAAAATAAGCCTTTTTATGCTGAAGACTCCAGGATGCCACTGCACCCAGTCAAAATATAGTCCAGCACAAAATGGCACATAAAAATCACAACTTTACACTTCGGTTGTTGTAAGATTACACAGATGAGATATAACGTGCTGGTCGGAGGACTTTGTTACCATTGGACGTTGCAAGGTGAGCTATTTCCTACTATTTCGAGTCTTTGTTCTCACCGAACAGGCTGAACAGACATGATATATGTCTATGTATTGAGTGTATATTGACTTTCTAACTAACTTCTCATCTAACTCCCAGCCAGAAAGCAAATAAGCTTATTATATCAAACTATTCTCTCTGTCATACAAACATAAATACAGCTGAAAAATGTTGAAAATCCTTCAGACTTAAAAAGAAATTATGGCAGAAACTAATGTGATAATTAATCTAAAGTCATAATAACAGATATATGTTCATTTAGTTTGGTTCTGCTTGAGACCATAGTCTTAAACAGCATCTTCAATAAAGACACTAAAAAGTAACCGATAATTAGAATGATCATGAGATCTCAATATTCTGGTAGTTAAGATTTGGTGATGGGTTTTTCCTTTTTAATTTATTCCTAATAATGCAAGACTCATCTGTAGGTAATGGTTCACGTCCCCAATTTTATCAAGGCTACACACACAGTTGCACAGAACACATATAAATATGACTGACCTATGAGTGGCACGGCGAGAGAGGTGGGTGGGACTATCTTTGATATCAGCAGCAGGAACACAGTGAGCGCCAGCAGCACTGAGATACACAGCGTCATCTTCTCCCCGCAATCTGACGGCAGGTAGAACACCAGGATAGCCAGCGACGTGATCAGCACGCATGGGATAATCAGATTAATGGTGTAAAACAGCGGCTTCCTCTGGATCACAAAATCATAGGTGATATCCAGGTAGGTGATGTCATTGGGGTCCTCATTTTTGCGAGCTGGGAGCGAGACGATGTCCCACTCTCCGCTTGGCGTGAAGTCATCACGGCTGGCAAAGTCGCTCGTGAGGATGAGATCAACTTCTGTGTGGTCGTAGGTCCAGGAGCGGAACTTGAGAGTGCAGTTCTGCTGGTCGAAGGGGAAGTTCTGCACCTCGATGGCGCAGGCCGACTTGTAGATAGCCGGGGGAAGCCAGAAGATGTCTCCTGTGTTGGAGACCACAGCATTGCAATAGAAGGAAACCTCGTACACGCCATCAGCACTGTGAGAGGTCGTGGGTGAGAGGTTGTGGGTGTAAGATTAGCGAGAGTATGGATTCAGAGTCTACAATTACAATCAAGACTTAAATAAGACTTATTTTAAGTCAGTGAACTCTTGAAGCAGCGCTGTTGACCTTCATGGCGATGATAATAATCAGACAAACCTAAACTCTCCCTGATGATTGGCTGGAAGTGAATTTAAAACCAGACATCGATTAAGCACATATTAATCCCCTTCACATAAAAAAAATGGGCTTGGAGGAGAGAAAATGGCATACGATTTTAATTACCAAATCCCCATGGAAACTCATGCTTATTTTAGCAGGAGCTTTTCTGCTTGTAATGTCTTGATGGTAATCTTGGAAAACCTCTTAGTACAGTAGAATGATATACTGTAACTCCATTAATACCATACTGTAATCCACCACACATACACAGACACTAAATTTAGTTGTGGTTTTTTTCACTACACTGACTTTAGAATATTATATCAGAACAAGATCACCTAAATCAAATGCTAAAAAACTAGTCCTCTGTTTGGTGGAATGCCATGCACATACTTGTTGTAGAGCACTATATCAGGTAGCCAGATGTGTTTGGATGGTATTCGTAGTTTCTTGATGCCTTCATACTTTTCGGGGTCCCATCTCAGCCTATAGTCGTTCCACTCCTGCAGAGAGAGTATTTATAAACTCACAAACACACCCACATACTGTACATAATGTATATTGAACACTATATGTGCACTGGGTAGATACAAAGATTCTGTTGTACCTGACACAGCCACAAGTTGGTTGTCATTATCTGTTCTCGCTCATTCTGCAAGGAAACAATAGTCAGCTTGGCATACAATGAGCATAATTTCCATAATGTTTCACTTTACAATATAAATGGTTTAATTGTTATAATGCTGTCTACTGGCTGTGGTTTTAACACACTAAAGGTCAAACCCAAATATCAAAGCAAAGAGAGCAAATGCAATAGCATAAATATTTTGGGACAAAATAACACACCTTCCAACACCTTCACAAATGTCAGAAAGGCAGAATTAATTAAAAAAGTTAAAGAATATAAACACATTATAGTATTTAGATGAATTTTTGTCAGACTGAATGCCACCCAAAGGCTTCCAAGTGGGATCTGGTTGTGACAGGACGATAAAGCATGTGTTAGCACGTGTGACAGTTGAAACCTATACATTATGGGCTAACGTTAAGCTAGCGGTAGATATTAAATATGTTCAAAATGTTGGCTGGCTCTTTGTTAAACCACTGCGTGTCCTTTTTATACTTCCATATGCTAAAGGACCAGAGTAAGATTTAGTGGCACCTTTAAAAGATTGCAACCAACTCGCCTCATCCTCTCCTTCTAAGCGTGTAGGACAAACAGTGGCTGTAAAACTTTAGAGCCAGTGTCTGTCTGTTCTGGGGTACTGTAGAAACATGCCGGTTCAAGATGGCGGCCTCAATTGTAAACAACCCACGCCTTCTGTAGATAAGAACGGCTTATTCTAAGGTAACTAAAACATAACGATTCCTATTTACAGGTGGTTATACGCTAATTAAAATATACCTATGGATATTGATAATTATTATTATTATTATTCCATATCTGTCAACAGATCCTCCTTAATGTTACACACAGGACCTTTAATACAGAGAATGAGAATGTGTGTGTGATGGCTTTGGAGCTGTTGGAAAGCACTTTTGCGGAGATTGGCTGAGTAAGGGAAAGCAAAGTAAAAGGCACTGTGACTAAATATATCTATATATCTATAGCATAAAAATTCAATATCCAATCATGTTTAGAAACCATTATGAGATGAAGACTTAGTGACTCAAATGTGATGGATGTTTCAAACAAATGTGCGTTAGCTCAGAGTGTTTACTGCACACATTGAGATAACGGTTCATTCAATATTCCAAAAACATAGATAATCCAGAGACGGATTATTTTTAAAAAGCAAATGTCCAAAATTATCCATCCATTTAATAAGTTGCTTATCCTGCTTGTCTTGGGCATGAGGTGGTGCAGATCCAGCCCTGGTCCCCTGTCTATCACAGGACTAACTCAACAAGACAGACAGACAGACAGATTCAGACTTAATCACACCTACAGGCAATTTAAAAGCTGCCTGATCACTTAACCAGCATGACTTTGAACTCTGGCAGTATGATGTATTATCATAAAGATTTTATTATAACACATATAATAATGTCATATTTATTCAGTGCTGTTGTAATATTATTGTGGCTGTATCATTTAAGTTTCACCTAAGGGAGGGCCTAGTTAATAAACTTAAGCAGTTATAAAGTTACTACACAGTAATTATAAAAGCTTATGTAAAGCAATTACATCCCTTGGTTACAGACTTTTACAAATAAGACTTTGAACTTTGCTGATACAGTAGGGGGCTAGGAGACCAAAGACTGCACAGACTGAAGGACCTGCACTCAAACACAGGTGTTTTCAATTACTCTGGCTGGTTAGACCTCTAATCTGGTTAAAACGGTCCATTTTCACAACAGACATTATGACAAGTCACAAAAGAAAAAGCACAGATGTAAATAATAAAATTAGTGATGCTGCTTCAGTTTAAGGCTCCTGATATTGTGAATGTTGGCTCACTGTCCCACCATTACGGCTTACTGGGCCATTATTGTTGTTACATTAGTAACACCTGAGCTTTTCCTGCTATGACAAATCAAAATGTCTGCTGTAAAAAAAGGCCTGTTGAGTGGAGCAGTGGAGGTTTGGTGACATTAATGCCTGACTGACATCATGTCAAACCTCTTTTGACTAATAACAATCATTTTCAATGTCAATGAAACACAGTTGCTACACGTCCACACAGTTGTGAGAAGAGCACTAATCAGGCTACATAAGTGAAAACACCTGTTCGCAGGACTTACCAGTGATACTGTCTCTAAAGACCACAACACAACAAGTCCCCTCCACTCCAAAATATGTTTTAATACAGTTGGATGTTTGAGCTTCACTGGTTTCAACATGGCGGCCTCCATTGAAGGCGACCAGCTGCGTTAATAAAAATTGATCAGTCTAAGGTAACATAAACCCAACAATTTCTATTTTCAGGTTATTATACACCTAAATGTTACACACTGGCCCTTTAAAAATCTGATTTTCAATGAGCACAGAGAAACTTTCAACTTTCATCAGATGAATGTGAAAAC